TTTTCAATATAAATGCTATCTCGCCTTTCTGGAAATATGACCACATTTGGCCTCTTTTAATACATTCATTCACACGCCTACACTCATGGCGGACAGCATTTGCCAACGTAATTGTGATAGTGATTGGATGATTTTGTAACATTGTGAATTCAATGCAAAGCTGACAGAAAAGGACCATTTTCTTCCCACTGTCACGCAGAGGAACATAATTTTACATGAAAATGAAAGCAACTTCGAACAAATCTGTACATTTCATAATTCCTCTGGGAGTTGATATACGAACATGTTACAGAAAACATGCTCTAAAATAGCCTTTTCTGTTTATATTTGATCGAAAATGTCGTTATCTTACTCGTAAAACGGCTGCCTTTCGTTTTTGAATATGCTGTCGCTTATGGGTTGCTTCAAGACCTTGCAATGACAATTAAAATCACACCATATCTGTACTGTTATTAATTGCTCTCATCAACTATACAAAATCATTCACATTCACTAAGAAATTGTATGAGTACAGTATGATACCTACTCGATGGCATAGATAAATACATGATTTTTCTTACGCCGAAAACATACAGATTGTAGGGTGGAACCCCTAAACGCAGATGCCATGGCAATTCGGACTCAAACGTATTGGGGAATTAGAAACCTATTTTAAAACCTAGAGATCAGCTTTTTGAGTGCAAAAGTTTAACAATCTCTGCTTGACTATTAAATTTCTACATGGATTGACATCTTTGCTTCTGTTTTCTATAAAACATATTCGACTCTATGAGTGTATTAAATGCATTCTAAAAATGTACAACGCATAATTAATCACTGTTCAGTGGGTCGGGTTTTTCGGGCGACCGTGAAGGCATGCACGCAAGTCCCGGCATCTGATGTATCTCAATTATCCTGTGTTAATGCCTCAAGCTAATTAATATTACAGCTCGACATAAGTTTTCCTTCTTAATTGAAAAGGCATTTCAGAAGTTCAATATTTTTCTTTTCCCTTTTACTTCAAATCGGTTCTACATCGTGACTGTTTCGTCCATTCATTGTTATAACTTCCATCATATTAAAAGCTATCTTAAACATATCGGGGTACAGTACAGTACATTTTCAAAGTTTATTTGATCTACTTAGAGTAGAGCTGGCGAAGTGCTCAGGCTGAACTTTGCCCTAAAATCATAATCACAGTCAATTTTTATTTTGGAAAAACGCTTCAATCTAATTTTTATGTTTTCTATAGTTCCATACTAATGTTTTGTTTCCAAAGAAGGGATGTGGGAGACAGAGTTTTAGAGATGGCAATGCAGGAAATGAAGAACATGTGTCAATTTGACAACATAGCTCCTCGTTACCGAGCCTACTGATTATAGTTGTGAAAACGTACAGAACAATCAGTTGATAATATTACTTCTTTCGAACACATCCAATGAACTATTACTTATACGCTTAATAAGTGTGCAGTAATTGTTGAACACTCGATTATATATACACATAGACGGCAGTAATATACCTTTGCCTATTGGACCTCTAATACACTTAATAAGTAGGCAGTAACTTTCGAACACTCAGTTTTATATAATAAGAAAGAAGCCGGTGTTAATGTAGGATTTACTGTTGGATCTCTCTTAGCTGATTCCTTCATGGACAGACTGAAGACAATTCAACTAAGTG